ACTTTGCAGCTCTTAAACTCTCATGGTGCTCAGATCTTTGAAATTTTCAATTGCTACCACAATGTAATCAAACTGAGAAGTTAAAGATCTCAATACCTTCTCTATGATTACTTGTTCAGAAAGGATTTTTCCACAAGCTTTCATCTCATTAGTGATCAAAATCACTCTAGAGATGTACTCAAAAACCTCCTCGTTGTCCTTCATGTGGAGATTCTCATATTTATTTCTTAGAGACTAAAGCTTCACCTTCTTCACTGATGTGTCACCACCGTAACATCTGACCAGTGTGTCCCACACAACCTTTGTTGTTTCAGAGTCAACAATCTTCTCAAACACATTCGCATCTATACAGTGATGGATGTAGAACAATGCTTTATGATCTTTCTTCTTTATCACCTTCTGCGTTGTCTTATGTGTCTAAGTCGCGTCTGTTGCTAATGAAACATAGTCATCGGTGATAACATCTAACACATCTTGAGAACCAAATAACAGACGCATCTGGATCTTCCAACGATTCCAATTTTTACCATCAAATACTGGAAGCTTGGAACTGATATCGTCGTTTCCGTTCATCTTCAACCTTGTGCAGTTCACTAAAAAACTCACTAACACTGTCTTTTCCAAATCTCACAGAACCAGAAAAATGTGATTCTCAATCACACAACACCTCATTGTTCACCCGTGTTTCCCGTAGATTTCGAACCGGAGCTCTATATACCTATTGTTGGTGCACAAAGGAGAGATGAAAGACAAAAAAAATATATTAAATAACGGCTACAAAATAAGGAGTAATGAATACATTGAGATACTTACTACTAGGCTATTTATACACAATATTAAGGTATAATAAAAATACTAAAATACCCTCTAACATACTTAGTCAACAAGACATTCATAAAATATAAATTATTTTCAACAGGGGACACCGTCGAGAGACAATTGAAAGTGAAAAGAATATCTCCGTGTCGAGAGAGACAAATTGAAATAGAAAAGAACCCCTCTCTGTGTTGGCATCGACAATGGTGCGAACCAAAAAAAAAAACCTCACTCTAAGACATATTCGTCGGTGTCGGAATTGCATGATTGAAATGAACCTTGCAGTGTGAAATTGATTAATTAGAATGCATTACATTGAAATGATCGGAATTCTTCATTGAATTGGCAAGAATTTCATTGTTACAAACCATACATATATATATATATATATATATATATATATATATATATATATATATATATATATATATATATATATATATATATATATATATATATATATATATATATATATATATATATATATATATATATATATATATATATATATATATATAGTTTGTAACATTGATTTTGTAAATTCAATTATGAAAAGCATTCATATACGATGTTATTATGTAAAGCAATTTTGTGTTAAAAAATTGGGAATGCATATTGTCATGAAAAGCTTCACTTAAATTATACATGTTGTTATGAAAAGCAGTTATGTGTTGTGTTAATTCATTACTGCTATATAATATCTATACTTCACTGTTGAAAACACTAATTTAGATGTCAATTCCAAAAAATAAGAGATTGTTGCAGCAACCCATGCAACCAATGACATTGTCATTGTTCAAAATTATAAAAGGCTACTGCAATATTGATTTTGTCAGTCTTCTACAAAATTATAAAAGAGTGTTATAGCAACTCATGCAATCTTCTTTGTTCTTCATTAAACATTAAAAGACTCATACAATAATAAAGTAAAATTTATATGAGTTATGAGTTATGCTCATTAATTAATGTAATAAATTCTAACAAAATTTATTTTATAACTACAACTATATGAGCTGTAAAATTCAACTTATAAGTCTTGAAATTTATCTATAATCCATTTCCAACACTAAAACAGTACAACCTTTTTTGTGGTAAACTGAAACTTTGTGAAACTGAAGCTTTGTGAAATGTGCAGCATTATATTATATAGGGTGCTTAGTGATATCTTCTTTTTATGTCCTAATTGAAGCTGTACCGCAAAACTTTGAGGAAATGACTATTTGGTGGAGTAAGGATCCTTTCTATTTTTCAAAAGAAATAGAGGTGTTAATTACTATAGTTTTGGTGTATGAGGTAGTGCTAGCTATAAGTAGAAGCTAACACTTTATTACTTTTTTTCCTTTTTATTTATAAGTAGAAGAAGCAAACATGCTTTTCAAGCACTATAGTGGCTTTTGATAAGAAGCCCACGTTGTTGGAAGTACAATATAGGTGTTTTGTGGGTTTACTTTTTTCTGCATCATGTTTGTAGTCTTTAACTTTTAGCTTTTGTAAATTTATATTTTAGTGAGTGGTGAAAATCAAGAGATTGTGAGAAAAGTTTGTCAAGTGATTTGATTTGATTGGAATCTCTATTGAATATATATATATTGTTGGTGAGTAGTCTCAGTTCAATGTAATGTAGATATGCTACTAGCTAATGTAATATGGGCCAAACAAGGTCAAGGAATATGAATGTATAGTTTTTGTTTTATTTTGTCTTTTTGGATGATTTTAAATGCTTCAATTGCCTAGACTTGACTTGTTTGACCGCTTATACATTTTACAAAGACATAGATAAACACTCATGCACCCGGATTCATGCACATATAAGCACTAAAAAAGAACAAAGATTCGAGTGGCCCATATTTCAATCGTGTGAGATCGATCATAAAGGGACCCCTCTTGCATGAACTAATTTTGAATTTTTCCTTCATACACCCCTTTTCCCTTATTTGTTGTTGTACACCATATTTTTAAAAGATTCTCAAACAAAAATTTATTGTTGAAAATTATTATCAATAATTAATAATTATGGCTATGTCTAAAATGACAAAAAAAATGTTAGTAAAATTGTTGGCGAAACAATACACCAATTGATAAAAAATTATTGTTGTGGACGAAACAGTGCAATAATTAGTAAAATTGTTGTTGTAGGCAAAACAATGCAACATTTGATAAAAATGTTGTTGAAAGTGTGTGTTTCATCGATTGTCACAATCTTATAAAACAATACTAGTTGGTTCTATTAATTGAGCATTACAGATTCAGAAAAACATATTAGAAAAGTATATTCTCTTCTCATAAAATCCAGACACTATTCACTACATCCGAGTTTTCGTCGGTCTTACGCAAACTCGATAATATCCTTAATTATCTTGGATATTCATGCGTTTCAACTCTAAGACATATTTGAGAGTGCTAAAAATATTTATAAAGAAAGTAATTTTATTCACGTTTTTAGTCTCGATCCATTTGTTTTAAAGTGATTTTCTAACAATCTTATTATAAATAACGGTCTAATGACAACGAGACTTTCATTTCAAGTATCAAAGATGAACTATTGTGCCGTGGATACATTCTGAATACAAGAATGATTATTATGAATTTGAATACGTTTATTTTTTCAAATTAAAATATTGTGAAAATTATATTATTAAAATTTAAATATGAGATTTTTGAACGGCTAGTATCATAACCTATGGTATGATTTTCGTAATGATTAAACAAGATGATTAGATTTTTCAAAAAGGTTTTTTTTTTCATAAGGAAATAAATTTTCTACACGTTTGCTTTTGTTTGCATTGTATATTGGTCGTATGATTGACTCCTAAATATATAGATCGAATCATATCATTAACTAGTAAAATATTTTGCATTCGTATAAGTACTGAAGTATTACGTAAATTCGTTTCCAAAATATAATAAGAAAAATAAAATTATTTTATTAAAAATATTTTTTATTTTTAAAAGAAAAACATATATTTAAAATAAATAAAAAATTGTTTTACGTCACTAATATATATTTCAATTTTCCATATATTATCTTAAAAATTATTGTATTTTAAATTTAAAATAATTTCAATATAAAAAGATTAGTAGCATAAATAATTAAAAAAATAATTTATTTTTTTCATGTTTGGATTTATATATTATTTTAAATATTTTTATTTTTAAATTGTATAAAAAATGTAATAACTCGTGTATATGTACAAATTTTGGTATGTACAAATTTTGGTATGGTTATCAGTGCGTTCATACAGTACTGGTGTGTCAAATGTGGTTCACACGGATATTAGTGTGTTATGCACATTTGTTTCCAAAATATTATAAAAATGAAGAAAAAAAATCAATATTGATGAATCAAAAGAGTTTATTATTTTAAAATAGATAATTAATCCGTATCTATAATTTTTCGATATATAAAAATGTTTGACCATGAGTTGAGATCAAAATAAGTGTTCTGGACTAGACCTGCACTTGACCAAAACATCATACAAGTCCCGATCCAACTATGTTGCATGAGAAGGTCGGCGGGAAAGAGTCTGCCTTTGACCATGTCGGGCACTTATTCCACTCTTCTGGTCGACCAGGCTTTGTCCTACGGAGATAACTCCATGACTGGCGGGGAGTGCCAATGACGCTCAGGAGTTCCTCGCGTGCATCGTCCACTCCTCTCGTCGACCAGGATATGTCCTCCGGGGACAACCTCATGACTAACGAGGAGAACAAACGACGGTCAGAAGGTCTTCGCGAACATCCTCGTCGTAGGGTTGACACCCAACACCTCCGAATGTCAGAGTCCTCTTGACCCCGAAAAGACTGCATCCATATCCTCCTGATAATTCAGAGGAGTCCATCAAGGTTGAGGACCACGTGTTGGTCCCCACTACGCACGTAGGACCCGACAGTCTCCATTTTAGTCATGTTTTCTCAGCCCAACAATGGAGACCTTAGCCCAACGCTGAGGCTATAAATATCCTCTCACCTGAGAGGGTCAGATATTCATTCACTCACTCATACTCTCATTCTTGTTTGCACTTGCTCTGGATCTTACTTTGACATCAGAGTGTCTTACAGGTACCCTCTATTTCACATTCAACTGTTGCTCGACTTAAAGCTTGTGGACTTTGATAATTCCTTCTGATCAGGTGTGATCAATAAGTAATGTAACTTTTAAGATTCTTAAAGCGATAAATAGTGTATCAACGTAACCAGCCAGCAAAATTTTCAACTGTGAATTTGGAAAGGTAAATGAGTTAATTCATGAATTCAAATTGCATAAATAAGCGTGCATTTAAGAAAAATGAATCAATCCATTTCACAAAAAGAGGGAAAACCAACTTAAAAAAAGTAAAAGTGGCTTCTTGCGTTAATGAGGGAAAACTATGTTAATATGTGAACAAAATCATTGAAAACTTGACAAGCATCCAATAATTGGAAAAAATGCATCTTTTTGTTTGGGGTCTTTCAAATCTTTTTCCACTCCTATACAATAAATCAGTAAAATAAAGAATTTGAAACTCATAACATTATCGTCTGATAATCCATCAAACCGATACCCTAAACATATCTGCCTCATTTTGTTTATTTCGATAAGTATCACAAAGCTAGACTAATCATTCCAAGACAAAACTAAGTTACAGAAGCACAAAAGTCAGACATTTTATGCTGTTTACAGATTTGTAATGTAGGAGAAACTTTCATACAATATTAGACAATATAATTTACATATCATTAAGTTAAATGTAAAATGTTATTTAAATAAAATATGAACTGTTGAGACTTGACATTATTACTATTAGAATACACCAGATTTTTCTAAAACAATTCATACACGCTTTTGATATGTCAAATCAAATGTATGCTGAATGTCAACATGGATTCCTAACAATTTTTGCACTGCCAGGAACCACACCTAGGAGGCACTCATCGACGCCATAGTGTCTCAAGTCAAATATGGCCTTACAAATTACAATCTATACAACACCAACAATTTATACTGAAGGCGTGTGACCGACACACGTCAAATAACAATACGTCACAGACACTTGTGATAACCTAGAATCACTTCATTTTTTACCGATATCAGTGCTAATGTGACATTGTCTTTCAGAGTGTATATGTTTTTCATATCTTACAACCAGTGAGGCAAGGGATGCATTTGTGGTAAACCCAAAAAGTTGAATTATGAATTTGAACATAGTTTTTAACAAATTAGACCACAGTGATAGAGAATGACATGACATAATATTAAAAGGGTAATGAGATAATAAAATACCAGCAACCTTAAGCAATAAAACAGAAGCAAGTGAAGTTTTGTCAATTTTGGGTTTCATGTAAATGTTTTATTTTTGTACTTGCATTCACTTGCTTTGCGGATCTTAATGATCTCAACTGGAAAGAGTGTTGTGTTACCTCTATCCAGAAATTTGGTTGATGTAACATGCTTTGCCTTCACTTGCATGGTCTTCACATCATGCAAGCTCTTTTACCACCCATGAAGACATGAAAGGTTAGTAGACAAGAAGGAAAGATCAAACCTCCCTCAATGTAATGGAAGAATGGGGATGCTAACCTTAATATATTCTTTATAGGAAAGAAATTTTAACAAAAGTTGAAATCTACTCACTTCTTGCAAACCGCCATAAGCCATCAGTACGCCAAAGTAACTGCCATAGAGGATGATGTAAAAAATAAGGTGCAACAAATTTATTAATAAGAATATCAACTAAACTAATAGATACATGGTCTGGCTAAATTGAAACATTGTCATTACAAAATAGCCTAATATAGAGGTTGGTTACTATTGTGGCCCTGTGCCCCTATCTATATTGCATGGCTTAACTTGCAGGTATAGTTCATTGAAGTTCAAGGAGTTATAGTTTGACAAGAAAACCTCCAAGAATCACTTTGACTCACATTTAATTGAATGTATTCCGACACAAATCAGTTTTAATAAAAATCAATTTACTCAAAATCGATTTTCACTGATGCATAACCAAATATACACATAGTAGGCTATAATGTGGAAGGGAAATTTAAAAGAAAGTAATACAAGTCCAGAGATATTTATCCAATGGAAGCTAAGAACCCAGCAGATGTCATTACAATTGATCCAACATTGGACTTGTTTTTGTTGTAAGGTATTTTTTGTACTACTGAATCTCCTTCTGACAACGTCAGCCATACCTGAAATATTAAATTAACAACAACCATTAAATCATGTCGGTCTTGGGAATCATAAGATAAGGCTTTTGCGCTCAACTGTTTATGTATTTTAATCCAATAGCTAAAGATTTTTTGGAAGATTTAACTTACGGCGTGGCTAAAAAACGGTGTAAAACATTGGCTAATGGCAATAAATGGGATTAAAAGGAATTGGGTGAGAAGCATTATTAACATTTCCTGCACAGAGATTGCATATTGCAGCAATCAAAACTGGAGAAGCTCTCCAATACATTATGCATGCGAAAGTAATAGTTGTAGCATAATACAATGGTCCTCTAAGAAGTTCCCTGGTGCAGAGGAAAATGTGAGACCAAGTGAAGAATCAATGTCATGCATGTAATCAATTATCAGTCAGTAGCAAGAATTAATAACCGAACTGAACTGGACGACTTAAAGTATTGAACCTTGAACTGACCTTTAGCACGATTCAGTTATTTTCTTAGTAAAGGCTAGCATAATCATGTTACACAACTGCAAAGATGACAAAACATTATTTTTCTAGGATATGCAGCTAAGCATGTAAGCAAATGAAATAAATAAACAACAAAATATGTCTATTATTCATATTTCAGATCCAAGTAAATTAGCTAAAATAAGTGCTAAATTACATCAATAATTTCATTTTATTTACCTTGGCTCGAGGAGAAAGCGCGTTGAGAGCGTACACGCCAGCAACGCCCATGAGCTTATTCTTAAATATAAGCACAAGCATTTATGATTGTATTGTATGGTCAAAGATTAGTTATTTTTATGAGAATATTCTCTCATTTCCCTATCAATACAAAAGAAAATTACCAACCAATTCATATACACATTGAAGAATGAAAACTCACTGAGTAAGCAATAATACAATGAGCTCAAGAAATTAGAAAAGCACAAATACAAGCCATAAACCATACCTGACTTCATCCTATCATCAGCAGCAACAGAGCTAGTAAAATTAGTTTGATTCAAACCAAAACCATCCCTAACTCCAATCTGATTCCCTTTACCATTTCCAAAATCCGCAAACTGATTAGCAACAATTTGAGCAGCAAAACCTAACCCTAACTCATTCAGCTTATTATCCCTAACTCCAATCTGATTCCCTTTCCCATTCCCAAAATCCGCAAATTGGTTCGCAACTGTATATGCTGTTATAAAGAGTGCATTCATTTTCATTTTGGCAAGTGCTATATACTGGATACAAATTTATAACATTAAAATAGTTTATTAAATATGGGGTTAAATAGTGAGTGGTAGATGATTATGGAATTGTGGATGAAAATATTATGAAAGAATGGTCTATTTATAGATTTGAAATTAGGTTAAAGACACCCTCAAAAAGTAAATAGTCCACACCAAGAAAAGTTCAAAGTTTATAGTTTTTATCTCAGTCAACAAGTCTACAAATTCTGACCAATGAGAAATCAGTTTTGTCAACATGTGACCAATCAGAAAGTGATAAATCATGCTATTTTATTGTTTTTATATTTTATATAATTTTTGGTTATTTTTTAATTAAAAATTAAAAAAGTGAAAAAAGTAATTTTTTGGAAAGATTTATACCAATTGAGATTTGATTGAGAATTTGGTGGACAAGATTATGAACGTATACACTTTTGTGATTTTTTTCTCAATATTGTGATTGATTTTGTGATTAATAAAAATTGATTTTGAAATATTTCAATTATTTTTAACATCTTGAGTATTAAGTGTATAAAATAAAATATTAAAAAAAAAATTAAAATACCTTTAAAATAGAAAACAAAAATAATAATAAAATAACAGAAAAATGACTTTTTTATCCTTTTTATTGAAAAAACACAAAAGAATATAAATGTCAAAAAATAGTGTAACGGACCTTGAACTCAGGACCTTCCACTTGTAAGACTTACTCTCTTACCAACTGTACTACGTTATTCATTTGAAATAAAAAGCCAATTGAAAATATATGAAGATGATCAATTATTTTCTATTTAAAAATATAAATAATTTGAAAATTATTATATTTTAAAATTAACTCGAAAACGAATATTTACAAAACCCCAATATGTTAATGTAAATCAAAAGAATTTTATAAAAATCAAAGTTTGAAAATAAACTTGATGGTAGCACTGAGGACGGTAAAATTTGGGGTATGACAGCGTGCTCCTTCGAGCTTGCTTGTTTTTTCCTTGTACATACCATGTTACCTTAGGATGTACTTGTTCCTTTCAGATGCAAGTTAGACTTTAGGTTGCAAGCCTTGCATGCTAACATTAGGTAGACGTTTCCCTTATGTTAATTCGAACTTTAGGACTACCATTGTATGATAACATTAGGATTAGAAATAGGCTAGTCTCCTGTAGACTCATTTCTTCCCCCTTTTGCATATGCATTTAAAACTAAAACTTTCTTTTTCTTAGCAAATCATAAAACGTGATAATCTTACAAAAACCATTTTTCAAGGTAACAAAACACAAATCAATAAAATGCGGCATCTTTCCTTGAGGGCGTAACTCAAGACCATTTTGAAGTAAGGACATGTTAATTTACTTATGTGTCAACGCGTGAGTCTCCAAAGGTCGAGTTGCGGTAAAAGACAGAATTAACATTGTTCATAAAAAATACAAAATAAACATAAACATGTGAGTCGAACTACGATAACTCTGATTCCTCAAAAAGGATACATAGGCATTGGGGTAGGGCCCAAGCGAGCAGAACTTTAGTTTCCCTATATTATTTTCTCTTTTCTTTTGCATGCATTCTTCCTCAGTAGTACAACAAGCATAGATTAAACAGACCCATAAGATAGATAACAAGAGTGGATATCGTAGATTACTACGGGCGTATGGGGTGCTAATACCTTCCCCTCACGTAACAGACACCCTTACCCGATCTCTCAATCGCAAGAACGTGACTTCTCCCTTCTCAGGTTTTCTCGATGTTCTCCTTTCCCTTCATGTGGGATAAAAGATGTTCGATGGAGACTTCATTGTTTGATGATTTTCAGCCGGTTGTTTCAGCTGGCGACTTCACCGAGGACAGATTGACCAATTGTTGGTCTATCTCGGAGTCGCTCCTAGCTCTCATTTTATTTTTCTATGGGTGTTTATTTATATGCTTTATGGCTTGTTTATTTTGTACATGTTTATCTAAGCATGTGTTTGCATTGCATTTTTTTATTTTCCATATTGGTTATTTGTTGTGCTGGCTTTTGGTTTCCTTGTTGGGTGGGTGTTACTACGAGGTAAAAGGCCAAATACCTAGGTGTGATACGGTGGGAGAAATGACTTGAGGGTTTTGCGTTTTATCGCAAATATTGCGGTTTAGCAAGAGTCGTCACCGACTTTTCTTTTATCCAAAAGGAAAGGTGAAAAAGCACAAGAAAGACCTTTGAGATTGTTTCTTGAGTTCGGGGGTAGATTATGAAAAGGGAAGGTATTATCACTCTTTTTATCCATGGTTTTCCATGGGCTCTTAGTTACTTGCTAGATCACTTGCTTTTTATTTTGAAATTGTGCTTTGTGTGGCTTTTGAAAGTATTTTGTAAAAGAGGCCATTATTTAGGAAACTTTTGTAATGATTCTCGTTCGTAAGAATGTATACAAAGATGTTTGTCCTTTTGAAAATTTTTTCAATGTTTGTAAAATGTTTGGAAATGTGTGTGTTTGTTTTGAAAATAGCAAGGATAGTTGTTTGGAAATAGAGCAAGTAACTAGAAGTAATCTACCTACTCAAATGTATTTCTTGTTCATTTTTCTATTCCTTTGACATTGTTATCTTACCATTAATTTGGTAAGCAACCCTATCTTTGGATATAAACGGGACGGGCGTGGGTCATCGTATAACCATGATTAGCAATATTGCAAAGTATCTTAGTATTTTTGAGGGACCAAGATCATTTTGTAAGGCAACTTTGAATAGCGTCATCGTGGGACTATGATCTTATACTTATTTGTTTTGCCAAGATATTTCGCATGCATAATATGGTCATTTTTATATAAGGCAACCAAGTGGATAAACTCTAAGGGTGCTTGTGTACAAGTGTGTTATTTTTATGCTTTGATTTTGTCTTTGATTTAGGGTTTTCTATTTGATTTGTTTTTATCTTGCCATACAAATCCTAATTACTAGCATGGTATATAAAAGCGGTAAATTGCGTAATTTAAAGATTACTACGCTATTACAATATTTTTATAGGAGGGGGAATACAAATTATGAATGGGGATTTGCAATAATGTAAATCTAATTAAGCTATTGCAACCAAATCGAATTTGCAATGAATATTTGAATAAATAAGATACACTATAAATTAAATGTAATGTTATGTATATGCAAAAAAAAAAAAGATTTTGTTTTATTTTTCATATGCAAAAGAGTTTTGACTTAAATCTAATAAACTTAAGAAAAAGAAATTAATTCTTGAAAACCAAAGTTAACCCTAATTTCTAATTTAAAAGAAAATGAAGTTCTTTAGGTATTATTTTTATGTATTTTTTGTATTAAAAATAATAAATAATATCTTATGAAAATATTTAGTTTTTTATATGTCAAAATAAATATTTACAAGTATGAATAAAGAAAGAATAAAATAATTAAACTAAATCTATTATATTTACAAGTTTGTTTAAGAAAGAAATAATTAATATATAGTTTAATAAAAATATTTTTTCATGTGAAAATAAAATAAAATAAACAAAAATGCAAAATCATCATGTTTTATATTTTTTATGATTTTTATGTGTTAAAGAAAATATTTTAATAAAAAAAATATGAAAATAAAATAATAATAAAAGGATTGGGCCAGGGGTGCTGCAAGCAAACAGGGGGTAGTGTGTTAGAAAAAAAATAGAAGGCCCAAGAACCAAGCCCATACTGCCCAAAATACCAAAACTGAAGCTAAAAAAAATGAGAAAAATGTAAAAGGTAGCGCCAAGGTTTGAACCCATGACCTGGGCATTACCAGTGCGATACCTTGCCACTGGGGTGGTTGTACATTCGTTAGTTTATGTGAAACAATAAAAACATAACGTAAAAAGCTTCCTTGCTCTGTACTTCATCTTCTTCCTCAAGCTGACCAGAAGCTCTGTATCTTTCTCATCTCTCCATGAAAATGGAAACTTCCAACATGAAAATGATAGTACTCTTTCACACGATTTCAGACATGTAACTTATGAAAACTAACAATCAAAGATTAAAATGAATTTTAAAAGCCCTAATTTTGAACCTAATTTTTACAGAAATTTGAACTCCAAAATTCTCTACACATAATGAACAGAAATGGAATCTATGCACATGATTGGCTTCAGCACTATAATATCTACATTTTTCTTTCACAAATTGTGGCCAATGGATGCTTGTATGAAGAGATAAAAGTTGGAATTCTTACCTCTTTCAGCTGAGATCGTGAATGGAGTTTGAGTGAGATTTAGGAAGGCCTGAAGGTTCCTTTAGCTTGCTTGAACCTCCCTGAGTGTGTTCCAATCCTTACCTTGCTTTGGAAGTGCCTGGAACTCTCTATCCAAGTCAACCTGCAAGCTTGGAAAACAAAAATGGCAGATGAAGAAGGAGGAGTTACAGTGCAGGGATGATGGTCTGGATCACTTAGATATGAGGTAGGTAAAGTGTTTGAATGATTAAAACTTGAAACGCACGAGCAAATTTGTGGATTGTTATGCTTATGCTCAAACTGCAAGTTTTTGACAGGTTTTGGTGATAGGGAGTTTCAGGGTGTTTTTGGCATTTTTTAATCGTGTTCTCATTTGTAATGGGTTTGTATATTAGTATAGAGAAAGTTTTTTGTCAACTCCACAACAGATTTTTCAGTTGTAGGCTTTTTGTACACTTTCTTGCTTTTGAAGCAAAGTGAAGAGACAAGTCTCCACATGCTTGTACTGGCCTGTGATGGGGTCTGCGATCGAATTAATGTCTGATGGTATCTTAACTGCAAGCGCACAGCCTATCGGGGTAGTAATAAAAGATTGTCGAATCCACAGGGACTTTGTAATCACGCTAGTGTTGTAAAACAAGTTGGTTTAGCTAAGGCGGAAATTGTCACGTTGGTTTTGGGAAAATTAAGGAAGGTAAATTAATTGATTTTAAAGTAATTATAAAATGAACGGTCGGTATGCAATAGAGTCAACCTAAGGGATCTAATCGGGCCTAGGCATATAAGGATGGTCAACTTAGTT